CAGTTCAAGTTCAGCTCCCACACACACACACGCACACACACACACACACACACAGTGCGACACGTGTTATCGATAACATGTGACTGATTAAATGCCAGAGTTATCGAAGCACTTGTAAATCGAATCTTACGCCAACTACGACAAGCGACTCATTGAACATTTACAAATTAATTTGTCGCCAATATAAATACCAAATACCGTTATCTGCGGCCAATTGGAGCTGTCAAAAGTATCTGAAGTGAGTGTATCTGAGTATCTGTGAGCGCGACCTTGCAAGGCAACAATGGAAAAACCAATCAGCCAGCGTGAAATGAGTAACAAATTAGCGAAAATGCAATACAATAAATAAATAAATAAATCGAAGCGAACGCAGATCGTCAATAATAACAAGTGAAACAAGAGTGAGGAATTTTTTAATTTAGATAATTGGAATGACGCTGAATGAAACAGTTTATTATTATAAACAATAATGAACAGAACAATCCAGCTCAACTCAATTATTAACAAACAGAAGAAAAAAAATATAGAGAACATTAACTGTTTAATCAGATAACGCAGCTGTCTTTAGTTTCATAACAATAACCGCAGTTGTTGTCAAAAACGAGAGAGAGAAAAAAGTGAATATGAATAAATTAAATGGAATATTGCATTAATTCCATTTCCATTTCCATATGAGTCACATTTCAATGCAATATTTTTTTTAATTGCGACAGTTTGATTCACATTTTATTGCGGCTTTTTCCACATTGATAAATATTTGATTTAAATAAATTGCATTCGTTTATATAATAGACAACAGAGCACACACACACACGCACACACACTGATTTATTTCCAATTGAAAAAACTAAATTTGAAATGATTTTCATTTATATTTGGGAAAACTGATTTTCATTTTAATGTTGATTGATTTGATTTGCTAAACGTTTTCAATGAATAGTTTTTTTTTTTTTTTTTTTTTTTTTTTTTATTCATAATTTTTTTGTTTTTTATTTACTTAATGTGTTAATAAAAAAAATTGTATATATAATATATGTGGTTTAGCATTAAAATTAAATGACCAGAAAGTGTATTTCGTAGAAAAATTAATGAGATTTTATTTGAGAATAATTATTATTATAATAATTTTTTAATTTGAGAATAATTATTAGACATTTATATACAATTTTTCCTTTGTGGATTTCATTTTTCAAATAAATAAAAAAAACTAATTGAAATCATAAAATAAATATTTAAAATGAAGTTAATTCATGTGATTGAACCTTCCAGCTTTATAATAGTTCAAATATAATACTGATTTCTGATTTCAGTTTAAATTTTTAATTTATAGCTTATATTAAAGAGTATATCAAAGGTCAAGGCATTTTGGTTTAATTTATTATCAACAGTTAATTAATGTTTATTTTTAATTGCAACGTCAACGAGTTGCGTCAACATGCCAATAAATAAGATATTTATATATAAATAATTATACAATTTAGTTGTCTCTTATTGCAAATGTCAAAATTCATTTCGATCAGAACGAAAACCAAAGAACAGCCAAAGCTAATTAATGAAAAAAGTTCGCACGACAAAAAAAAGCCAAAACATCAGCTAATTAAAAAGCTAAAGCTAAAGCACTTGTTGGCTACAAAGGGGAATTGCACTGCAATCCACCCACAATCGAGTCGAGAAACGAAACTGAAACAGAAACTGAAACAGAATCAAAGCCCAAGACAAAGACCCAGCCCAGAAAAAAAAAAAAGAAACACAGATTGCAAGCCCTGCAGTTTTTCACGCCCCTTTTAGCACACGGGCAATTGTTTTTTGTCTTTAGGTATTTTTTTCTATATACTTTAGATATGGCTAGAAATCTCATTATGAGGCTGCAGCAGCTCCGCTCTATAAGGTGTGCCTTCGCCATCGTCACCCGCTGCCACGCCCCAAATTCAAAACTCTGTGTACTTTCTAATACATGAATTAGGAGTCGACATCGACACCGACATCGACATTCGATATCGACACCATGTGAACTTGGCCAATTCGGCGATTGTCAAACGAATGTCGAATGTTGCCAATTTATAATGTAAACGGACTCCAATTGGCAGTCTCGTTCACTCCAATTGGATTGCAGTTCCTCTAGCGCTTTTGCTTTGTTAGCAAAGGTCATTTGGCCACCTAACAAGCCCAATTTAATTCATTTAACGGCATACAACGATATATACAAAAATATCAATTGCTAATTTATGTTTATTGTGCATTATTTGTACTAGACAATAGTTCCAATGCAATGTTCCAATCCGAAGTTCCCTTTGGCAATGCGAAATTGAATTTTTATGCACTTTATAGCAACTATATATCTATATATAGATACACATATATTTTTTAATGTTTTTTTAGTTGGCCCACTGATTGAAATTTATGAATCCTTAACTTTATTTTTTGCCGTCGTTTTTTTCTGCATTTATTTATTATTATTATTTGTGCGTTTTTTGTTTGTTATTTATTTTTATGTTTATTTTATGTGGACTCTGCGTGTAATTCACATTAAGTTTTATATTTATTCGAGTTTTTTTTTATAGTAAAATTTAATAATATTTTTTTATAGACTTTATTTATGTTTATGTTTTCATTAAGCTAGGTCAGTTGAATTCTTGAGTCTTTTTGAAGATTCTCTTGTTTTTCTCAGCCAGCCAAAGCAGAGACTCCCATTTTGGTAAAGCCAGATATTTACAATAATTTTATTTCGTTAGTTAAGCAAATAATTATATAAATTAAACACGTTAGTAAACCAGTGAATAAATTTATGCAAGCTGCTCATAACTTGCCCAGCAAAGAAAAAGTCTTTAATGAGCCGCCACGGCTCTGGTTTGAGCGTTCGGCAAGTTTTAGCCTTTTATGGCCACTTTTTAGCCTTTTTTGCGTTTTTTTTATGCAAATTGAAAAACAATAAATTTGTTGTCAGTGCCTAACAAATGCGACTGTCAAGTGCAACATGCTCCATTGTGAACTTAATGTGAGCATTGTGAACCATTTTCGTGGCATCATAAGTTTGCCTGTTTTTTTTTTTTCTCTCCCGCATTGAAGCTGAACTTTGTCATTTGCCCGAGAGCCTGGAAAATCAAGTCACTGTTAAATAAAACCTAAATAACAGAAGAGAGACAAAAAATAGGAAAAGCAACAGAAAAACACACAATTGAACACTATCAATCGATGAATCGATGCGCTTTGATTGACTGCAAGCAATTCGGCAATAAATTGTAGCAAACTTTTTATGCTCTTCTAATAGTTGTTTTGCCATGAATTTATAGAGTATTTGTTTAGTTTATATATCGTGATTACAATATGATTTACTGCATATTTGTTTGAGTTGTGTTCCGTAGATTTTCAACTGAACTCAGGATAAGAGAGAAAACGAAAGTTAAGTAGATGAAAAAGCCAAAGTTGACTTATTTTGACAGTTGAGAATAAAAGAAAATAAAACAATTGAAATAAATATACGGAAACAAAAGCGAAAAAAAAGAAAATACCAAGACTATAAAAAATATGTATTATCATAAAAATCTAGAGAGGATGAGAGAGAGAGAAAAGTATGAAACAGTTAAACCGTTAAACTAATGTAAAGAACTTTCTAATGAATAGAAATATGCCACAAGAATAACTGAATAAAAGCCGAAATCAAGCCAATTCCAAAGTTGACCAAATATTTTCAGCCAAGTTAGTGTATCTTCTATTTCTATGTTATGCAAATGGATCTCTATACCCCCTGGGGTAGAATTTCGCGCATAATGTCACATGTCAAATAATTCCGCCTTTAAAGTTTTGCCGCTAACCGTAAAACAAAACATGAATGCAATTTGCGTTTGGCGCCGCAGCTTCTGCCGCAATTGAAACGACGTGTGGGGCATGTGCTACAGATGTGTAGATAGGGATGCTATAGATGTACATGTATGTATCTTGATATTGGCACATGATTTGCTATGCAATTTTAGCAGAGCTTCTGCAGCTGCCTTTGATTGATTTGTTTTGCCAAGTGACGCACAACATGTCAAGATAGCTGCTGATTGGAATGGTATGGAATTGGAATAGGAATGGGAATGGGTAAGGGAATTGGTATGGGAATTGGTATGGGTATGGGAATGGGAATGGGCTTGATGTGTGGCGGCGTCTCAAGTGGCCCAAGGTCTACGGAGTGAAAATATTTTTCGCACTAAACGCGCTGACACATTTTAATAGGCAGCTGCTTTGCATTTGCTTTGCATAAATTTATTTACATATGTTTATTAGGGCTGAATGGCGTCGTACCGAAACTAAGCCAAAGCACACATTTGGTATCCATTACGGATGCTGTGCGAGGGGCAGATCTGTCAATCAGAAAATCAAATGAAAAACATAACTCAGCGAGAAGTCGCCCTCAGCTTTTGATAGATGACAATGCGGAGTAGAAACAGAAGAAGAGGAAGAGGCAGAAGAAGAAGAAGAAGCCATGAAAATATGTTTCTTTTTTTTTTTTTTTTTTTTTGGGGAAGTGTTTTTGTTTTGGTTTTATTTTTTCTGGGTTCTGTGTGAAAGTTGTGGCCAGACAAAAGTAGAAGCAAAGAAAGTTGCCTGATAATTGGCCAAAGGTCGTGAATCTCTCGAAGACTCTTGCTAGATTATGCAACACGCTTCATTTCCATTCGAATCTCTTCAACATTCTAGACAAAAAACCAAACAAAGTGAAAGCTAACATCAGTAGAAGAAGAAGAGGAATAAAAAAACTTGAACAATTTTGTGTACTCATCCTAATGCACTTTCAATTTCGAAAAAACAGCTTACAAATATTTTGTTGCGGGTGGAAAATTTTCTAATTTCCAAATAGAAAAATTTCCAGCTGGGAAGCCTACAGAGTGATGAAATGAGAGGGGGAGGGGGAGAGGCTGTCGGAGAGAGATCTTTATCAGCTCAAGCTTTGGGCTCTCCAGAGAGATTGTAGACTCGCGAGCTTATTACAAATTCTAATCGCATTTCATTTCGCTTACACTCACACATATATATACACACATACAAGGTTTCTTTGTGTGGCTCGTACATTGGCCTGGTGTCGAGTCGATGAGGCTGTCGCTTATCGATTAATCACCAAATTAAAAATTACTAAGCCCAAAGCGTGGAGCGTGGCCGAAGACAACGTGATCCCCCCGCTCCTACACTCTCCCGGATGCCCAGAGCACCCATCGCACTGCTCTTTATCGTCTCCCTCTTATTATTATTTTTTATTTTTTTGGCAGCCCAATTTAAACAATAACTTGGATTCCATAGTAAAAACCGCACTAATTTCGATTCGCATTTAGCCTTATTTCGCAGTTTGAATTGGCTATTGTTTCTGCAGAAATTCCTAGTTTCCCTTTGTTTCAAATGTCAACACTCATCTAGTATTATTTACGATAATGGCGATGAAATTCCAAGGAAATAGCAAACAAACTAATTGAACCATGTGTTACATCAGGCCCAACGCCCAGCGCGATAGGATGTATAGTATATACATTTATATAAATATATAACAAAAGTCGTAAATTCATTTAGCATGAGCAAAGGGAAATCGAATATATGCAAATATTGTGGAACAAATAAAGAATATTTCCCCTCCTCCCAACAAAAACTAATGCTCATAAATAACACTTTGAAGCGCCGCCTGGCGGCCAATTAAGGCACACTGCAAGCGGGTACAAAGTTCAATTTGATATCAATCGGCGTTCGGCATTTTCATTGGGCAAATTAATTTAATGCTCAGTAAGAGATTTTCCAATGCTTATCACAAATTTGTCATCAGCTCGTTGTAATGCGATCACACACGCACACACACTTAGAAGCCAGAAAACACACACGTATGGGAAGTTTAAGCTGGAGTTGGAGAGCACACATGCGGCTGCCGCTACTCATAATGAAGTTGAGCGTGGCTTGCAGATAATGATCGAACAGACCACGCGACGCGACGCCAAGACACACACGCACACAGATACAGAGGCACACAGGAAAGAATTGCAAGCGCCGACCACTCGCTCTCCCTCTTTCGGACGCTCGCTCAGCTCAGCCGATTCGGCTGCGCTCCAGCTGCTTGTCAAACAAGTTGCGTGCGAAGTCGGCTGCGCAGACGTATCGTATCGGCCGGCGCAGTCACTTTACTTTTGGCGCTCGTCGCGTACACAACGTTAAGCGGGCACACTCAGTAGGCGGCAGACAACGTAGGTGTAAACTTGACTTTGACTCTCACGCTCTCCCACACCGTAAAGTGCGATCGTATGTGTGCGTGTGTGTGTGTGCAGTTCATTCGAATGCTCGCTCGTTCACTTGCAAAGGCTGACCGTGAAGTTTGTTCTTTTTGCATGTTTATAAGCTGAGTAACTGTAACTGTGCTTTGTTGTTTGTGCTTTGACTTGTATTTATTTATTTTTTTTTGCTTTGCGCTTTGTTATTGCCGCTCTGCACTCTCCGCCAAGTTCATTCACGTTCATTCACGTTTCATCACCGCTGGCCGTCTAATTAAATGTAATGCAACGCAAATATCGAAATCGAGTTTAAAGCTAATTGCAAATTTAACAACATTATTTCTTGCTGCTTGTTGTTGTATCTTCGCTTTTTTTTTTGGCATTTCGAGCTCATATCCATATTCATACTCGTATCCATTTCCGTTTAGCTTTGCTGTGCATTCGAGCGCAACAGTTAATTGCATTCATTTATTGTTGATGCAAATAATTTAAAACATTTGAAATTAACTCTTGATGATTGCCTTTGAAGAAAGTGAAATCTCTTTCTCTCTCGCTACGAAAAAAAACAAAATCAAAAACACAAATGGCTAATACTATAATTATGTTAATTTTAATAACAGTTAAGTGTTAACACAGTTTATTCGGTAACAAAGAGAAATAATCATAATAATACTGAAATATATGTATATATAAAAACAAACCCAAAAAGTGCAAACAAAACGCAAACTGTTTAAATATTTTCTCACAAAAGCTACACAAATACAAAATACAAAAATAAATAAATAAATAAATAATGTGTGCGAAATTTATGCAAAAACGAAAGCCCCAAACACTAAGCAAGAGCTCCTAGAAAGGTATGTAAAGCCATCTAAAAGTAGACAAAATATTAAATAAAAGTGATCTACATGAAATATATATTTAAAATAATTGAAGATTCTAAATAGAGAGCGGCTTAAAAAGAAAATACTTAGAATCAATTCAAAGCTATTTCAAGCCAAATTAATATTATGTATATACAAAATATATTAAACAAAATTTGTAGTCAGAGTATTGCAGAATTAAAGAATCTATTGTTTCTGATAGGTAGAAAAATTGTACAGCTTTTATAGAACCAACAACGTTAACTAAGAAATTATATGTATTTAAAATTTGATTTCTAAGATTTCACTTGCATTTACAATTCAAACAACATTTCCTTATTCTTCTATAGATTGTCTTTAATCACATTTCTATAAGCTGCTCTGTTCTGCTCTGCCTGAACTTTAAGTGAAAGCTCTTTCAGCTCAGCAACATATTGTTCGGCTTCCTTTAATGATGTTAAATTGAGACAAGTGGAGCGTTCCTTTTATTTTCATATACATATGTATAGTTGTTGCATTAATTTGTTGTCTTTTCATTGTTGTTCCACTGACTTCCTCTCTGGCATTTCCTTAATCTTTAGCCCACTTTGTGATTCCCTCTCTTTCTCTCTCTGTCTCGCTGTCTGTCTGCAAAGTCACACTTAGCAACCTTTCACACTAAAGTTGCCTTGTCATTGGATTGTGGGGGCAACTCTGGCCGACATCATTTGTGACACATTTTCATAGAGACAACACAGCTCGCGTGTTCTTCAGAGACAAAGAGTTCGCATTTGTATGCCATTGGCAAATATTTGCTGGCCAAAATGTTAAAATGTTAAAATGCCAAAATGCTGAACTACTTTCGAAAGGGAATTAACATACATACATATATTGTGGTGTTAAGGCTGCCCCAGCCCCTCCATTGGCCACAAGTTCTCTTTGTTGTTGTTGTTTTGATTTTTGCTGTCGTCAAATGCAGTGGAAACAATACAATAAACCGCACCATAAACATTTACCTACTTAACTTAGCCAGCCGTCCCGCTGACAGTCGCTCGACTTGCGTTTGCTTTCATTCAAATATTTGCATTCAAACATGCACAAATTGTTCACAAGTGGGCGTGGTCAAGAGGGCGATGCGCTTTGCGTTTTATATGTGCAACTCCAGCTGTCCAAAAATATGAGTCTAAAACAAATATTGCTATAGACTACGTGATACCCTGTTTGTTAAATAATAAAGATCTTTAGAGCTATAAAGAAGATTTCAAAAATGAAAATGAAAACAGTAATAGAATAAACTTTTGCCTTTTTAAAATTATATAAATGTTATGTTTTTTTAATTGTAGAATTTTCAATTAGTGAAGTGAAGATATAGAAGAATGTTGATAAATATATATATTTATTTTTAAAATAATTTTTAAAATAATATAATAAATAGAAAAATGAAAATTAATTACACAGTAAATATTAGGTTTAAGACTAGTTTAGATTTAGATCTTATACTCAGAAGTAGAACGAATGATTAAATTAATATTTTACAAGATTATTATATTATATTATATACAAGATTTAGTTAAGGAAATTCAAATCAAGCTCAATGTCTCTAGCGGCAATCAATATACTCCGTTAGCAATCTTTCTATGTGGAGTATAAAAAATAAATGAATTTCGAAAAAGAGGCCGCGGCTACAAAATAGTTGAAATTCGCTCGAAAGCTAAACATTTTTTTATGATTCGCCTTATTTGTTTTTGTTGCTGATTTTATTTTTATGTATCTATATAGATACATATACTTATACAAGCATACGCCTTATATGTTTGTCCGTTTGTAATTTTTCGCGTTTGTGACAAGAATTTGCAAATGTCAACGAAAATTGCGCGCTTCACATTAAATAAACGAAAAAAAAGACAAAAGCGAAGAATTCGACAAAAAGGGCCGAAGTGGAGCTCAGTGCATGGAGAGGTAGAGATAAGAGTGGAAATACCAATGCCCCAAAACGCGAACCAATTGAAATTGTTTTATAAGTCCAACTTTTTTTACTTTATTGCGTTCGCTTTTGGTTTAATTTAATTTTTTTTTTTTTTAATTTTTATTTTGGGGCATTTTGTGTTTGGCATTTTTAAAGAGCTTTGCGACATCAGGATCGTAACGCAGCGTAACGGATCCGATCGTATCGGTATTACATCAAAGTGAAAACGATCATTCAGTTAATGAGTAAATATGTGAAAACTTTGCCCAGAGCTAAACTTTAATAATTTGCGAACATGAGCAAAAAATTTGAATCTTTGTATGTTCGCATCTTTGAATTACCCAGTAAACGTGTTATTATTCCCATACTTTAATAATGCTTAACAGTATAAAAGAAAAACAGAATAACAGTGTAAAAGTATAATAGTATAACTGTATAGCAGTACAAGTCTATAAATGTATAAGAGTAGACCAGTAAAAAAGAATTGCATAAAAACTGGAAACAGAATAACAGTAGAACGGTTAACTGGTATAAGAGTTTATATATCAATACTAAAATAAAATAGAATCAGTTTTAGTATAGTAGAGACTTGTTTTTAAAAGGAATATTAATATAAATGTTAGAACAGATTCCTTTCTATAATACCATATGTATGTATGTATTTCTGTATATTTGAATGGGTCTGTCGTAATGCGAAACATTTAATACAATATAACAACATGGGCAATATAACAGTATGACAGTCGCTGTGCAAAAAAACACAGCCAAACGTGACAATTTGTTAACAATTTTGTTATATGTAACGATTTGTGTAATTCCTTATCGAAATATTCATGTAAATTTAAACAAAATTAGAAAGAAAAAACAAAAAAAGGTACAAAATTGATAAAAGGCATTCCGTTTGTATTTCTTTATAAAGTCTTTACAAAACATTTTCACCGTTTGCTTTGTTAATGAAATTTGTGCTTGGCAAAAAGAAGAAGCAAAGGTAATCGACTTGAATGTCACCTGCTTGTTAGTAGCATTTGGCAGGTGTCATTATAGTAATACCTTTATAATATTATTGCTGTTCAAGTGTGAAATGCGAATGAATGAAAAAGAGAAATGTTAATATTATTATTTATAGAGTCTGATTGTAGCAATTTGTTTTTAGCCAATGATGCATCAGAACACTCCAAGTAGGCTTCATCACCATTTACGTCCGCTGAATACAATTGAATGCTTTGATTACCTGATTGCCCTTGTCGCTGTAGAAGGTGCCACAATTTATATTGATAGTGCTCGATTTATTAGATACTTGCGCTGATAGCCAGGAAGGTGATGGAAACATTTGCTTGATGTCATCAGCGACACGAATGAGTTTTGATTTTTCTTTCTTTCTCCTCCGTCTATTATTATTTTGCTTTTTGTGTAAGTGTGTGTGTGTGTGTGTGAAGTCATAATGAACCGAAATGAACGGAGGTTTCTCTTCAACTAATTAGACCATAAAGCAGCCGACCTGGCTGGCCGAACTAATTCGCTTCAGATAAACCACAACAAAGGTCACGCTTTAATTGATAAGAAAACACAATGCCGTCTGTCTTTGGGAAAAATATTAAATCGCTTTTCCAAGCCGAAATGCCGGCTACTGTAGCCTAGCGAGTCACTCAAATGGAAATCCTCAGGGGCAACAATGACAGCGCGAGAGAACCCCAACAAGAACCGAACTGAACCCAAAATGAACTTGAAGTGCCAGCTGTGCCTCGATAAAGATCACAGCCCGCGTCACAGTCACAGGTGGAAGTGCCTACAACGATCTTCGAATGGTAGAAACACAAAAAAAAAAATGAGAATCATGCCGCAATTGAGTGCACTTTTCATGCATATACAATATATAGAGCAGGACTGCTAGATGCCCTGTAAAAAATATCAAAGTGAACGAATTGAATTTCTCTAGAATCTCATTCGAATATTCATTTCTTAAATTTAGACAAATTTACAGATTTTACAGTCAAAGAACACACATTATAATTATTTAAGATACATTCTATTTATTATATAAGACCGTCTCTCTGTCTTTCTCTTTAAAGTCTAGCACTAATTTGTTTCTTGACTTCCATTGAAAGGTTTGCCTGCGCTCTTTCGCATATAATTAGCATGCCTTTAGCTGCATTCTGATTACGGGGTATTCACAGCAAAACTTTTAATAGTTTTGAACCTTTTTCGAGTCACTTAAATTGCGCAGCGAAGCGTGCTCTCTTCAACTCATCCTCCACTCTCCTCTCCATCCTCACTTCCTCTCTCTCTCTTAACACTCAGCTGCCAGGTACGCCCTTTTTCAACACTGCTCTAAAGAAGGAAGATTAAGAATGGGAATGAGAATAAGAATGGGGGAATGGGGAATGGGGAATGGGGAAACGAGGGAATGGGGGAACGAGTTAATGGGGGAATGGGAATAGGACTGGGCCGGAGAGAGTAATTAACCCATGTTGGCCATTTGTTTTCTTGTCGGCCTGCCTTTTGCAAACATTTAATTGTTCCGATTGCCGTTTAATTGTTTCGATCTGCAATATTTGAGATGCCAAAGTTAAAAGTCTTTCGACTTGTGCAGATCAAAGTTCTGCCGCCGTCTGCTGCTACGGTTCTTGACATATTCAAACCATACCATGCCATGCCATGCCATGCCATGCCATTCCATTCCATTTCTTTTCATTTCACTCAACTTCTTCAGGTAGGTTATTAAAAGCCATCAACAACATTATTAGCCAAGACTCGAAAGAGTCGGCATTATGTAAGCTAAACAATTGTCAAACTGTGAGGGACTCCGGTTTTATAGAGCTTCTTCTCCGTCTTCTCCGACT